TATAGCCCCTTTCCCCTACCAGTGCCTGTGGTAAAAGGGGAAGAATCCTCAACGGCGATGGGCATATGGCACTCGCGCGGTGTCTTGAGGACTACTCGAACCATCCTGTTATGGCGGAAGGTTGAGGCGCCGGCCTTGGTGCAGACGAGGGAGTGGGCTCGGCTCAAGCGGTCCTTGCATGGTAAATGCACCTGCACCACAAAGTTTGCCTGTATTGCAGTCTGCTCGATCGTGACTCCCCAGTACACGACCGATTGACTCTCGATATAGATCAGGCAGCATTCTTTTATCTGCTCACAACCCTTGCGCTGTCAACCACGACAAAACTCCCTTGCCTTTCGCTTCCTCCAAGCGGATCAACGCTCTCTTCTTTGGCGTTTCCTCGCCTACTACTTTCTGCAAGTCTGTCTCCACCATGTGACGCACTGCTGCATGAAGAGGTTTCGAAAGGAGAGCTTTGTTCTGTGTGTTTTCGTCCTGGTATTTGTTATGGCGACAGTCCCCCCATGTTTCGTGGTGATACGTGTACTTCAGCGTATGTAGAGTACTACACTTTTCAGTGTATTATTTCGTACAACTACAACTATCCAGAGTCACACACCGGGTGCCCCGGTGGTCTCGTGTGTAGCCTTGTAGCCTGCCAAGGGCCAGGTCATGGGTTCGAGTCCCGACAGAGTGAGTTTTTTTTCCCGCTTATTAAATCCTGGTCTCCATTGGAAGTGACGCGCTGCAAAGCTCGTTGTTTGTCAACTTGATCGACTTCATAAGTCGCGAGGGAAGGGATTGCTGTACCCTTCTCGCGATGAAAATATCTCAGGCAGGAACCGCAGGAGGGTGTCCAACCCCCCCCTCCTATGTGACCCCGTTTGGGTCGTCTAGCTGGAAGTAGAAGTGGAGAAAAGGGGCCATAGGGGCAGAAGACAGAATCCAATGATGGGCGAAAAAAAAAAAACACACAAGAGGCAAACACCAGGGCTTTTTCTCTTCTTTTTATTTCTTTTCATGCCTCACCTTCCTCCTGCGGTGCGTGCTGAATTTTATTTTCTTTATCGCGAGAAGGGTCCAGCCGTCTCTTTCCCTCGTCAACGGTGCTAACGTCGAAGTGTGGCACTCACGAGAGCTTTTTAGCTATATTTCGCTCACACCCTCAAATGTCGTAAATTTTTCACCCCACGGAGATTCGAACTCACGACCTCTGCGAATAGCGGAATACGAGGATACCACTAGACCATGGGGGCGACTGGACGGTACTGTCACCAATCTGCGATCGGGTACAATACTGCTGTAGATTGGGGGCAACCGCATGAAGTGCACCCATGCGCTGTGTACGGTGGCTCATCAATGCATATGTTCAGCGTGGGTGAGAGGGGGCAACCTTGCCAAGAAAACAACTCCGGAGGTGGCTCTCTAGGAGAGTGAATTGTTGTTGTTGTTGTTGTCTTCACATTAAAAACCGTTCCGATCTCTCTCTACCCAGTACCTTCGTATGTCCGTACTGATACAACACTCGACGCGGTCGATTCCCGTNGAGAGAATGGGGTACACCCCCTTGGTTCAATCTTAGTACTTCACAACGCAAGCAGAGACAAGGCCATCTGGCACAGAAAAAGAGAGAAAAAGAGTGAAAAAGAGAAGAAGAGAAGAAAATAAATGGAAACAGTAAGGAATGAGAAAATGAAATAAAAAGAGCGAGGACGAAAAGGGACCAGGCCGAAAGTAACACGAAATAAGAGACAGAAAAAGGCACACGGTGGAGAGACCACTAGCGACAAGCAAACACGCAAACATGGCCACCAACCAGCGATACATTGTAATGG